TCCAGATGATAGGAGGTCGACTGTCGGATTTTACGTGTATCTTAGAGATAATTTAGTGTCATGGAATTCAAAGAAACAACATGTAATAGCTAGGTCCAGTACAGAAGCAGAATATAGAGCTTTAGCTCATTGCACAGCTGAGATAACCTGGATTCAGTCCCTATTGAATGAATTAGGAATTCCTCAGCATTCCATTCCCATTATATGGTGTGATAACCTAAGTGTAAGCGCTCTGGCACGCTCGTACTAAACACATAGAACTAGATGCACACTTTGTAAGAGATAAGGTACTTGAGAATCAACTAAAAATATAGTACATCGCTTCCTCAGATCAAACATTAGACTTGCTGACCAAACTTATGCCACACTCTAGATTCCAATTACTTAGAGACAAGCTTGGAGTGCTTGATTACACTCTACCTTGAAGGGGGGGAGTTATAATTATTCTTCAACCAGCTCACGACATGAAGGAATGACACCAGCAGAATTGCACTACCTGATTTTTAGGAATTAGAATCAATTTACTAGCCAGCTGTTAGAGTTTGTTAGATTCAGTTTTATTTTTTCATTTCTAGAACATTCCTTGCTACTAATTCTCTTGTATATATCACGGGGCAATGGTTACTGATAATCAATTAATTCAGATTCATTTCTATCAGATTTTAACTATGTTAATCTATAACATGATTGTTCTAACATTCCATATTTGATTTTACTATGAGCACTCTACTCAAACAACCATCCTACCTCGAGGAGTACAAAAAGATGGAAACTAAAGTAAGGGATAATTATGCAAGTCGTCGCTACAAGAAGGGTGTTGATGGATTGGTTGGGACACTATGAGAATTTTTAGAATTGGGAGGGTCAAGGATGAGGTTGAAGATGTCTGGAAGTCCAACCATTGCAAGATCAAAAATTCCCTTTTTAAGCTACCTTGAATAGCCAAAACAACAAATCAAGTTAATGACTATTAAGCACTAATTGGAATGCAACACAATCTTCTACCCCTTTATTTATTATGCTTTCTAAATATATGATAAGGAGTTTATTTTTATTCAGATGTCATCATCCATACAAAAAAAGTTGTCTCATTGTGAAACATCTTTTTGTAGCATTTATGATTCGAGTGAATAATCCTCCAAGAGTATTTGAAACATTATGCCCTATAGTCATCGAACAAAACCTCACTACAATGGACATTTAGAAAGCTTAATGGAGAGAATTGCTCACGTAAGAGTTGATAAAAAGAAAAAAAAAACGTATTATCCAACCACGTCGAGTTTTACATTGAATAGGTAGAGATTGGTTATGTTATGTGATTTTGAAAGTATTCTCTGTATTGATGTAAAAATTCAAATCTTGGGACTAACAACATATTATCCAACCAATTGTGTTTTGAATTAGACTATAGTTTGTTTGAAGACAAACAAATATTCAAGTTTGGGGATTTGATAAGTGTATTTTGTATACTAATTTGGACATTTAAGTTAGAATATTTATTGGTTATTTTGATGAATTGTGACTTAATTCTATGTGCATTGTGTTTGTTAGGTACGAATTGACATAAATGACGAAATTGGAGAAAATTTGTAAAAATGGGCTAAATTTTAAGAGATCCAAAATTCGGAGATTAAAGTGCAAATACTCAAAAGTTGTGTTGGACTTCACAATGAAGATTCAAGAGTGTTTGTAACATCCCGCAAGTACATGTACGTTGATCTATATCAACCACAAAAGATGAGCTGTCATCACTAGTCAAAAAGATGTTTGATTGCCAGGAGACACCTACAAACAATGATGAAAAAATGGATAATTCTTCTTGTACATTAGGGGTATCATGTGTCCATTATGGACACCATTATGGCACCCCTAATGTACTTGTAGTACTTCCCTAAAAAAATTTGGTCACAAAAACATATGTCACACAGAGCCAAAATAAAAGAAAAGCAACAATGAGTTTTATTAACTGGAGTCCAGCTATGTACAGATCTATGTAAAGTCAGTAAAGAAGCTCTTGATAATTTTAGAAAGGTAAGTAGACTAGTGCTCACTACATGATCCCGACAATTATTTATAAGAAGCTAAAATATTGCAAAATGATGCTTACAATTAAATTGTAAGATGAGATTCCCTTTTACATTTCTAAAATTTTCAAGAGCTTCTTTACTGACTTTACATGGATCTCTACAAGCTGGACTCTAGTTAATAAAACTACACGGTGCTTTTCTTTAAGCAAGGCAGCGGCAGCGGCAGCATGAACAAAGTTTGGTGCCAGGTCTAGTACTTCAAACTAGATCAAAATTACTTAGGGATGATGACCAAGCTCAATCCCTTACCTCTATAATCCCTGCCCCATGCATCTGCTACTGTTATTTTGAAAATATCTACTCTTGTTTGCTGATAATCTCCAATTTATGACATCAATAATCCACCGACTTTGATTGAGCCAAATTTCAATGGTGAGGATCGAGAATTTTGGAGCCAAGAATTCTTTGTCGCTTTTCTCTTTTGAATGGTGGTCGGTGAGTTGAAATTGAGAGATGTATTTGATTTGGAAACATGTCGTAACTGAAGGCTTGATTTTAAGGGGAATATATTTACATATTTATTAGAATCTAATAAATTGTGATGCCACTTTTGGCCTAACTCTCATTAGTATCAAAATGCCCGGACTACGATACTTCCAAGATCACGTTATTAAGCAGTTAAAATCACCTCTTCCCAGACTTGACTAAGACTAAGATACTGATAAGATTACTTAACCAATAATTCGATTGTCAAACAAACAAATAAATATGATGTGGTCTTATTAATGGATAAGTTTTGACAGACTTATCATATATCTCGAAAGAAAATCACTAACATAATCTAAAAAGCTACAACTTGTTCATCGACTTACATACTCTAAAGGAGTTGTATTCAATTATGACTTTTAGGGGTATTCAATGTAGATTTTTGAGATTATCTAAAAGTATAGGTGTATTTAATTAAGATTTTTAAAAAGTCTTTAAAAGTAATGATATATTCAATTAAAATTTTTTAGATCTCCATAAGTTTTAGGATATTCAAATTGTCAATAACTTTTAAAGACTTTTATAGAAGTCTTTTTGATACAAACTTCTAAGAAGAAAGTACAAAAATAAAATCTCAAAACTTGTCCCTCATTCATCTCAAGGTTTTAGAAAACTTCCAAAAAAAAAAAATGTTTTTTTATGTTTTTTTTCCAATATTTCTCTTTCATTTTCCTTTCTATGGACATGAGAGCCATAATTAATAATTATTTTTTTTTCCTACCGATTATATTTGTTTCCATTTTCCTTTTATTTTTTCTCTCTCAATCTTTTATTGCGTGTCTATTTTCTAAAAAAAAAAAAATTGTAACTAAAGATTCATTTAACTTTTTTTTCTTTTTCATCCCTTCTTTTAGGAAAAGGATCTACTTGTAATTGAACGATAAAATTTTATATAAAAAAGATTAATTTATAATTACATGCAGGAGATGAAGACGTCCCCGTCTAGTGCCTAGGCAGAAAATAAAATAAAATAAAAATAAAGGAGGTTAACACTACATTGATCATATAAGGCACGTCTGCACACCTTTCTTGTTTTGAAGCCTTGCCATGTCCTATCATTGTAAACGCTTAAAAAGAAAGTGAGTCCAATAAAAAATCAACCCACTAACATGTCACAAACAAAGCATTATTGATTTTGAGAATTTTGTTTTTGTTTGAAACTAGAAAATATGTGAAAAGTTCTTATAAATTTTCAAGTTATATGTTATTTCGTTTATTTATTAGTTTAAAATAATTAAAATAATAATGGGATTGTTTGACAGAGCTTTTGATACAAGTTTTAGCATATTGTACATAAATAAAATAGTCAATTTTTTTTTTACTGTTCATAAGTCGAGTCGACACAAATGGCTTGATGGCTCGGCACACAAATTATTTAGCCAAATCGAATGGTAAAAAGGCTGTGCTTTATTGCAAGGCGGTGCACTTGGTATGATGTGCTGCCTTTCCTCTTTAGTGAAACATTCCAAATTAACATAATCCTTTACTATGCTATCTTCAAATTGTCCTTTTCTAAACTATATTATTTAAACAATTAAGATTCTCTTGTCACGTCATTATTGAGAAGTTTTTATCCTGCATATTGAGAATATGAGATCAATTATATTTATATAAATATGTAGATGGTGTGCATACATAGGCCTGGGTGTTGTGAGTTTGACTTGTACATGTAAGTGTAGGTGTCGAGTGGATCGATCCAAGTATTTAATACTCTAAACCACTAATAATATTTCGGGTATTTCGTAAATGGAATGATCCACGTAATTATTGGAATCAAACTTGAAATCGAACCAACTTGTTCTACACATAATATTTTTTTAAAATACTTGTAGAGACTCTTGATTTGTCCTAAATTCTTCACTATATTATCATTAATTAATTAGTCTTCACTACATACCTCTTGCATAGGGTCTTGATAAATAAATTAAATACTGATACAACTGATACATGTAATTAGAGATTCTATGAGCACGAAATGAATGAGACATAATGTCTTACCTCAATAGGTAGAAAATTGAGGGTTAAGTTGAACTTCATTATCTCTTTAGCAGGATATTAACACCTAATCATCTATGCTCTATCTTTTTATAATCTTAATTATATATATGCCAAATAAACTAGAATTCGCCAAATGTTGAATTAGTACACCTCTTCCAAGTTGCATTCAATAATATTATATAAAGTAATGTCATGCATCCACCTTAATCTCGAGCGATAATTTAAGGATGATAAAATATGTACTCAATCTACTAGTTCTTTTAATCAATAGAAATTACAAGTAATTCAGAAAATATGAACAGATTATGCATCATAAGCCTGCCAAATTTTGTGTATGTATAATCATTTGTGTATGCACATAATATTAAGTTCCCCACATGTATAATAATTAAGAATCGACTTAAACACACGTAACATTATTATAATATCTTATGGACGGGGTACATTTGGTAAGTTGCAATGTGACAAAGATGATCGCCTTAAGCAGCTCCATAGATCACAATCATTTTGATTATAATCCAACGTCTGAGAATCAGTACCATAGTGCGTAGTGGAAGATGAAGACGCCGTATTTTGTTGCTGTAATTGTAGTCGTTGATCATTATCATCAATGGAACTGGTGCAAAAACTCGAAAAACCAGCAGATAACTGCTTACGATTAGTCTCATTTTCACCATTCAGGTGTGATGCCACCATCCTGTCAAGTGTTACCCAATCTTGACAACCAGTCGCTGGTTGATTAAAATTTGGGCTGCACGGAGAAGTGTAATCAGGGCTCTCGAGACTCGGAAGTTGAATGAATCTATCTCGATCGAGGCTAGTGTTCATCAGCATGCCTAATTCCTCCTTGCATGCACTTCCCATGTACTTGAGTATTTGGTCTAATGTCCCTTCCTCCGATGAATTGAACAATTTTTGATCGTTCGATGAACTAGTGATGATCATCCGAGTGTTATCAAGGGTCTTATAATGATTTTTCTTCTTAAATATTCGACAAATCGCCCACCCCTCATCTTGTGTTAACCCCTCTGATGCCTTAACATTGCACATATACAACAATTAGGCCAAAAGCTAAACAATTTTAATCATAAAGTTGAATTTGAAAATACTTACAATGTTGGGTTTAGTGCTGTTATCATCAAGTCTATATTCATGCATGATCCAATCCGACTTTCGGCCATGAGGAGCTCGGCCGTTGTAGAAAACAAGCGTCTTCCTCCTGCCTATCGGTCGAGAGTTACTATGTATCACTTTGTCGCGGCCCGTTGCTTTCCAAAATCCAGCAGCAGTTGCACGATTAGTACGCGTACCAGTGGGGTACTTTTTATCCTTGTGACTGAAGAAATACCAATCATTCTGTGGAGTCGTTCCAATCTTGCATTTCTCTGCAATCAAAATATAAAACTCAGGCGCAGAAATTAAGAAATCGAAGATCAAATCGTGTCTACCTTGAATGTCCCAAGGCTCGAGTTTGTTAAGATCAACATCTTGGATAACATCCAGATTAATCTTCTTGAGATCAACTTTTTTTCTCAAATAGTATTGCAAAAGCTCTTCTTCAGTTGGATGAAATCTAAACCCAGGAGGAACTTGTGATTCTCCATTCACAAAGAAACTCATGTCAAATGTTTCTCTCTAAGAAAATCTATTACAAAGGCGATATATATAGAGAGTCGTTCTACCTTGAACGATTTTGTCAAGTGCTGTTAGAGAATAGAGTCTCGAAGAGATGGAGAGCCACCTACCTGAAAGGATAGGGAAAGGAAAATTGTAAAAGTGGAAACCACAGATGGACTGAGGGACTATCTCTGTCAATATAAGAGTGACTAGAGACCTTAAGACATCGATACCAAAAGCACCACTCAAACTAACAAGTACTCTCTCTATTCAACGAATGCAACCACCGCAACGAAAACCCGATAATGGTGTCGGAGACAAGGAGCTTTCAATGAAAAGAAGATAGAAATGATGATGATGATAGGGGGCGGGGCGAGGGTAGGGGCTGCTTTCTTGATAGACATGTATGAAGGAGATGTTGAGCACTCAATTTTGAATTCCATAAATTAGTCCTAATATTTATTTTTTCAAGTATTGTCCTACTTCAAATTATAACCTAAAGATGGTGTTTTTTTATTTATTTGTCTAATATATAATGATGATCAAAGTGTCAAGTGTGGAACTTGTATATTATAACCTACCATGTCCCCGGCTAACATAGAAAAATTTGACCGGGATGGGACAAAGTAAGGAGGTGTACTTCAACAATTTCAAATTGTTTACGGAATCACTTTATCTCTAAAATCATAATTAAACATCAATTCCGTTACGGAACAATTAGAGGTTTTCATAATGCATAACTTAATTAAAAAATTAATTTTTTTTCATATAATCATTGTTTTCCTTTTAGTAGACAAAGCAACTCCTTCATATATTTCAACTTTTTAACGAGCAATTTCCACTCGTAATTCATCAATATCACCGCCAAACCAAATAAGGGAATGTTTGATATAGCTTTTTTTAGTATAAAAAGTAATTTTTTTTTTGAAGAATATGAGGTTAAAAGTATGAAAAAGTTGTGGATCTACGTGCAAAATTATTTTATTAGAAAAATGTACGATTGAGACTATAACTTCGAATTACAGTAGCCGTCCACCAAGTCTCAATTCATAGGAGTAGTTCAACCCCCGTTTGACCCCCATTATTTGAAATTATAATTTTTATAATAAATTTTTTTTAAGAATGTGTTGTTAAAAAAAAAGAAAATATTTTTGATTTATGTATAATATTATTTTATTGAAAAATGTATAATTGATAAGAAAAATAAATTATAATTTTAATGGGATCTAATGGGGCTTAAAAGATCAATAACCTCGACTAGAGACAATTTTGACTAGTTAGGTAGCTCTTGAAATGTTCACATGAGGGAGAGGGAATATATGATTTTGCGTAGTTCTCGAGATTAATAAGATGTGATGACCTTTTGGTGTTGGAAACATGCACCACTATAATGAGAAGAGAAACAAGTTTGTTTGGGAGAGTGTTTTTAAAAAAAATGGAAAAATTGCAGATACGGTACCAAACCTTTCACATTTTTGCAGACTTTATCCAAACATTTCATTTGTGCTACCAACGTTACCAAACATTTAAACAATTCGCACCCAAAATCTAAATTGACAGAAACCGTTAATTGACCAATAATTAAATGTTTGACCAATTGTTGACCAATTTTTAAATGATAAATATGTAACTTTACATTTTTCATATGAAAAAAATTAAAATAAAAGAATTAAAGTAAAAAAAGCCCTAAGTAGTAGTTCATCTTCTTCTCCCCACCCCCACTCCCACCAACACCCCAATCATCTTCTTCTACACCCACCCCACACACCCCCACTCCTGGCACCTCCATAGCCTCTATTTCCATAGAGTGAACCTCCACTACCACCTCCATAGCCGTTGTCACCCCCTCCATAGCCATCCCAAAAACCAGAAACACCGCTGTATCTTCCACATCCTCCATAACTCTCACCAGGCCCACCATACTCGCCACCTAAATCATAGCATCTACCATAGCTTCCCCCATAACAGCTGGAATATTCCAATGAAAGATCCCCTCTAAAACCTCGATAACCACCCACACCACATCCACTGTAAACACCAAGTTCATTTCCACCATATCCACCATAACTGCTACCTCTACCTCTGTAGGCTTCGCCAAATCTATAAGAACCTGCACTAAAACCACTTCCACCAAATCCATCGTAAGTATCTCCAAATCCAGCTCTTGAGTTACTCAACCGCTTAGATGCTGGTGGAGGTGGAGGGTTTGGCTTCTTATCCAGTCATGATAATGAGGGTGGGTTCCCAAAGCAGTACTTATTAGTGGGCATGGTGAAGGGAGGATTGTAGTCTGGGTTTCAGGGCACAAAGAGATGAGTTTGATAGGGACTGGACATTATTTTGCCATTCACTAGTTTGATAAGGCGATGGGGTTGGGGGTGTGTGGGGGTGGGGGTGCATGTATAAGATGATGATTAGGGGGGAAATGGAGGGGGGAAGATGAACAGTAGCTTAGGGTTTTTTTTAAAAAAATTTAATTCTTTTATTTTAATTTTTATTTATATGAATAATGTAAAGTTACATATTTACCTTTTAAAAATTGGTCAATAATTGGTCAACTAACGATTTCTGTTAATTTGGACTCCGGTTGCGAATTGTTTAAAGGTTTGGTATTGTTGGTGGCACAAATGAAATGTTTGGATAAAGTCTACAAAAATGTGAAAGGTTTGGTACCGTGGCTGCAATTTTTCCTAAAAAAAATCGTCCCCTTTTTTTTTTTTTTTTTTTCAAACTCAATATCATCCACGTTCTAAAAAAAAAAAAAAATTATTTTCATGTTTCTACATAACGCTTTAAAAAAAAAAAAAAAACCTTTCGAAAAAGCACTTATTTCTTGTTTCGCAAGAGGATAGGGAAAAACAATTAGAAGTCAAGTCAATTTAGAAGAAAAAGACATGGTGACCAAAACATTAAGACCATGTTTGAATCACATTAAAATTTTCATTCACAATCTTCTAGTCATTTTTCAACCACACATTTTTCAATAAAATAATATTTTCTATCACATCAATAATTTTTCATTCTTTTCCAACTACACATTCTCCATCAATCTACTATTCTAAAATACATTCTTCCAAAATAATGTGGTTCAACACACATTAAATAATAATACAGCTAAAAAAACGTGTTTACAATAATTTCATATGAAATTAAAAGTTTGATTAATGAATTATTCCAAATTACTAATATTAACTTTTTATTAATTATTAATGTAAAGAAAAAACTTTCATGCTACTCCATCTCCAGGGATTATTTTAAAAATGACCAAGTCAAAGGCCCATAATTCATAATTGACTTTTCATTCCTTGTATATTTTAAAATTGGCCTATTAGAGTTCAAAAGACAAAAATGTCCTTAAGTGAATAAAACAATTACAAAATATAATTTTGTTAAAAAGACAATACTACTCTTTTAGTTAACAAATAAAACCAAACACTCCCTAACAATGGAAATTCGTCTGTTTTGGTTGTTGCTTTCAACGTTTCAGTATTTTTGTCATAACTCTTTCTCTATGTATCCGATTAAGGTGATTCAAAATGCGTTAGAAAGATAACTCAAACGGCTACAACTTTTCCAGAAATAGCTCATTTTCAATTCGAACGTTTACTGGGCCAAAAATGGATCTCAATCTCCATCTCCAACTAAATATTTGGACATTCTTGTGCGGTTGAAAATTGATTTGTTTTCACTCATTTTGATCTTTAGTTGTATCCATTTAACCCCTAACATTCTCGAATATTCATCATGAGCTCGGATGTGTGTATAAACAATTCAAAAAGTCGATTGTTTTTGTTTTCAAGAAGTTTATATTCCCACCGTAAGCCGAAATTTTGAATGAATGTTTACAAATTCTGTTTTGTCATGCAAATATATGAACATAGCTGATGATTATGCAAATGATTTTTGGAATACAGTAGAGATAACCCGCTATGATAACGCTAATATTCTCGAGACAATTGTTTCTCATCGTGATATATCTGTGACGCACAAAATGCAATCGGTATTTCAGGATAACGAGAATGTAAATGAATTTACATATGAGGATTTAAATAAAGAATCTAAATATTATTTAATTAAAATTGAAAAAAATAAATATTTGTTTACAATGAATATTTAATTAAAGAATTTTAAATTAAAAAATTAAAAGAAAAAATATAATTTGCTAATTCGTCAAAAAATAATATTTCATTTCAGTAATTAAATAATATTTAGATTCTTTATTTACTTTTAATAATTAAAAAAATTAATTTTCGTAATTATCAATTTGAAATTAATTATTTAATTA